GGCCCAAGCTAATAAACCTATCAGAGCTTATTAGCTTGGTATCCACTCTGTCCTGCCCTGCACCTCACCCCTAATGTTAGCATATCTCATTACTGCACAAAAGCTTTTGGTTCTCACATCTTTGCTTTCGTCCTCCTGTGTGACAGTTCCGAACTAGTAAGTGAATGCAGTATTCTTCCTTATCCTTATCCAGAAAAGCCATCCTTTCTTTTCCTGACCCCCTGACCCCCACTTTGCTCTCTAACACTTTCTGACTTTGCACAAGAAAAATTGAGAGACTGCTCAATATGCTGACTCCTGAATTCTCTGATATAAAAAATGCTGAAGTTTGTTATGCTAGTATCTAGAAATGTAATATATATATAGCCACATCCACACCTATCGTGTCAGTCTGCTACAAATGCAAAAAGATTAAAAACATTTTCTTTTTTGTACAGGAATCACCTGCTCAACTGGATACTACCATAATCAGTTAATAAAGCAGCCATACCTTCCTGAAAGGCAAGCCCCCTTTCTATAGGCAGGCATTCCCACAAACACCTGCTGGCACAAGCACTGACAAGCAAGCAGAAATCCCATCTTTCCTTTCACAGGGTCCTATTTCAGGTTTAACAAATTAGTCTGAAGGTGACATCCCATTATAAGCTCACATATAAACACAAGAGATCTTTTTTTAAATTTAACTAGTGTACAACAGAATTTCCTTCCTGTAATAAGGACAAGGGAGGGAAAGCAGAGCTAGCAAAACAACACAAGGAATCTTCTCCTGCTATTTATCCAAAGCATAAACAACCGACTGAGTCACCTTCCACAGAAAGCGTTGTAAACCTTGGTCTTAACCTTATTATGTTATCGCCATGCTGTGACATCGACCAGGCTTGTGCCATTTGCAATTGCCAGTAAAGTGACAGAATCATTTTCCTCTCAGCTTCCTATCTTCAGCAGTCTATAGTTTTATTCCTAAATGTACATTATCTCTGTTCAAATACATAATTGCAGGGATAACAAGCAGAAAGTCTCCATATCAGTTGCAGCCTCTCATGCAGGCTAACTTTAATTCCCCTCAACCTAGCTCCAATTTTCCTGACTGCATCAAGAGAATACATAACTGTTCTTTGCACAGGGTCATGCATGAGCTTTCTTTACTTGTAAATTTAAGCAAAGTCTCAACAGAGTTCATTAATACCAAAAAAATTTTGTACCCAATACAACTCCCCTCCATTTGTGCAAGTTCAATAGTTTTCTAGTTAACACACTCTAGAAGTAAAACATAAAAACTGCTGAAGCCAATTTCAAGCATTCGTTATTACTACATTATGTTGTTCCAGCATTTTTCTTAAAGCCAGCGACAAAGACACTGCAGCAAGCATAAAAATACAAAATCTGGATTTTAGTATAAACATGCATTTGAAAAATGAAACTGCTTCACAGTCCAAGTTACCATCCCTAGACTTGATAAAAATGGCTTGAGGATTTATAGGAATTATTATTATAGGAAGCCGGACTGCAGAAAACCAGCCAGAACATCCGTGTGGTATTTGGCCTTTACATGTAATATAACAGCTAATCACAATTCCTCGCTAACACAAAAGGGAAGGAATCATTTATTGGACTCTTCTGTATTTAGTTCCAATGCTCATACTAATTACTGTGGCATCCTATCAAATAGTTCTTGCACCTAAAGATAAAATGGAGGTATGACTATAGGTTACTGGTTTTGTACAGGCAAATGAGACTCTTCAAGACTTCTGTGGAAGGCATACAGCAATAAGTACGCACTATTTGACCAATGGCTGATCACATCTGTGAAATTCATACAGAGCAGTTATTTATCAAAACATTATTTAGCTATCATTTTTCTACTTTTACAGAGAGAAGAAAAGAAGCCACTCGCACAATTCAGAATTCCTTTCTTTTCTCTCACCACACTCTGCTCCATTAGCTTGTTAAAAACAACTGATTGAATTTTTACCTCAGCCCCCAAAGAAAACATTGCTTGAAAAGTTATGATGAAACCTTAGAGAAGGAACACTTGGACCCTAAGGGAAAAGTGGCAGCTTATTGGAAAACTGTTGTGTCACTTTCAGGCTTTGTAAAACAGTTACTATCCATCATCTGTTTTCTGTAGATAGTTTCTTCGTGTCTCAGGAAGTTAGGGATGGCTCAGGAAGCCAGCGAGGTGGGAGTTTCTGTGGTAGCTTTACCCCTAAAAAAAACTAAATTGCAGAATGGAAAGGAATCAAGAGTTCTTACACAAGTGAAAATTTCTTCTGGGCAGCTAGGAAGATTCTGCACACATTTGGTCAGACTCGCACTTCTGCACAGTACACACATCTGTGCACGCTATTAACCTACATGCACACATTGCAGACATACACTCCTTTCCTGTTTCAGATCATAGCCTTGGGAGCTCTAGGCTTCATGGCTACAAAATAAATCTGATTGCAAAATACATGCTCACAGGTAGGAAAAAAAAAAAAAAATCAAGTTAGTACATGAGCTTTTACAGGAACACATTATTAACCCCAGCTTCTTTCTAGTCATTTCCATGGATAGTTTGGCTCTTTGAGCGTAAAGTCCCACTCTTCTGCAGTTCCTGCCATCTGGAATAGCTTTCCTTTAACTCCAAGTTTCATCTATTCTTTCATCCCATTCCAAAACACAACTAACACATTTTTTCACCATTATCTCACCCATTTGCCTCCATTTCCCCTCCCTGTTGTTCAGGACTTTACTCACTGATCACAACATACAACTCTTCATAATTCTGTGAAAACTTTCAGAACTTTTGCAGCATGTGACATATAATCAAAAAGTTTGTTTCCCAACAGCAGTATATATGCGCCAAGATATATGTATGTCACCCTGATAAAACAAACCCAAACCACAAACCACACAAAACCCAACAACCACGACCACAAACAGGGACTAACAGGAGATCACAGGACCAAAGGCTACTGAGCAGTTGGAGCTCCAGGATTTTATCTATAGCGTAGAATAAAGCCTTAATTCCACTAGTGCAAGCCCCTCATGGGATACTAAGTATCCCATTTTCCATTTTTAATTACTTTTTCCATTAAGACCCAAAGAACAAAGTGTAGTCATGCAGATTCCCCATTTTACTTTCTTATCCCCTTACTTCTGTGAAACAGCTATTTAGATAAATTAACAGTGCCTCCTCATCTTCAACGCTATAACATTTCTAAACTTTCCTGAGATGATAATTCTTGCTTGGCTGGGGTTTTTTGAATCCTACTCACAAATAACATGAGTGTTTTGGTAGATTGACCAAATGATGCAAAAGATGTCTTGGAAAACAGATGCAGAATGTTTGCACTCAGCTCACAAGGTGCATATATTTTCTCATAGTAGAAGAGTTTCAATATACCTTATTCAGTTATGAATATACTCCCAATTTAGTATTAGCCAGCAGTTTCCTCACTGAAATAAGGCAAATACCCACACCCAATTAAACTCAAGACCAATTAAGAGTCCTCTAACCTTCAACTCTGTTTCATTTTCCTCATTCAACCTTGCAGCTCAGAATGTGCAATAAACAACATACTGCCTTTCATAGCCAGAGGATCAACTGAATCTGCTTTACTTTAATAAAAAACATTCATTTTTTGAAAGGTGCCATACTGAAATGTTTTAAACATATCCACCACAATTCATCATTGTTAAACACTAAGTCAAGCTAACAAAGAGAGAGCAGCAAAAGAGAAACAAGACCAACTCATATATTCTGTAAATATAGAGAATAGTTACAAGTTAACAATCACTTATCTCATCCTGCTCCTATTTTTAAACTTCTTTAAGGAGTTACAGTGGAAAAGCACTACGCTACGATTTTTTTGTTTAGTGGTTTTTTTCTTTTTT